CATGGTGCTGTTGTCTGCTGTTTCTGCGCTGCTGTGCTGTGTGTGTGTGGCGTACAGGGGCTCCGTACTGCTGCGCATACCCTAAATTTGATTCACGGAGCCCCTAAGAAAACATCGGTCGGAACATCGGCACGAATTTTCGATACCGATATCGATATATATCGGACGATATATATCGTGTACATCGTTCCGATTCACAACTCTATCATTAGATCTTCTGATGGCTCTAGCATTTTTGTGACCACGGACTGAGCCTTGCGCTAGATTTTGGGATTAGCAACTGACACAAGTGTATTTTATTAAGAAAACAACAACAACAAACCTCGAGTGCTCCGATCCGGGGTCACGCAAAAACATGTTATCTTCTACTACTGTACTGCCTTCATAGTCGAGCGCGAGAGGGATTCAACAGCGACGACAGGAGTGCATGTGGCGTGTGTTCCTTGTGTGCTACGCTGATGATGTATGAGAGGAATGTTGTATGCATACGTAGCATCACCAGTGATGCATCATGCCGCGCTAGAAAAGAACATAGAAATATTTTCTTCAGTTCGGATTCATTAAACTCTCTCAAAGAATGGTCCGCAGGCGCATTGATGTCCGAGGACATCACGCTGTGTCTTTCACTTCAAATTCTCGCTGTTCAACAGGGGAGCGTCGCTTTCTTTCGTTTCCTTCCGCTGTCTGAGCGTCCGGGAGCATTCGGCAGGGTCGGAGTGTACGGGTGCAGTGACACACACCCGTTCAGAGGGCGCGCGCTGGAGCCACGAGCTTTTGTTGTGGGCACCAGCAAGCACCCGCAGCGTAAAGTTCAGCCCCCTGAACGCGAGCGGACCTGTTTACCACCACTCTGTCGTACTTTCGTTCATCCCGCCTTGCGAGGCGGCAAGCCTCTGTGAAGAGGGACGGACGACAAGCAGACCCAATCCCCGGCGCAGACTGGAGGAGGAGGAGCAGGAGAGGCCACAGCAGGAGCGGCAGCGCAGGCTGTGTTCGATTATCGGACAGCGGTGTGCGAAGGTGTGTAAGAAGTCCTTCTTGCGCGGGGCTCTCTGAGTCTCGAGAGGTGCGCTTGTGGGACTTCATCATCGTTTGTTTTGGGGGAAGCGATGGTGCGTGCTACTGCTGTGGTGTACGTTGTACACGTATAAAACACAAAATAGCGAGGCACGACCTTTTTCTTTTCCTCCCACTGTTGGGAGGCCACACTCCCAGCAGCTCCTGTGTGCTGTGGTCCACCCACCACACGTGCAAGCCCCATCCACAACAATATCGACAGCATAGGAGAAAGAAAGCCGCTCGTTGTCTCACCTCGTGTCACGTCTGCGTGCTAGCAGAAGGGCAGTGAGGAATCGCCAGAACACAGACGGTGGTTGTGTGAAGGCAGAATGTGCACGTCTCCAGGCCCAACATCATCGTGGTGCACGAGGCCGCATTTGTGGCCTTTTATCCGACATCCGGTCGGAAGTCACCGCAAATCCATCAAACCTCTAGTCTAGTTTTTTCGGCTCCCCATTGCTTTTCAATTGCTCTTCACCATTGCGCGTCCCTTCTACTTGTGTCGCCGATGTGTCCTCTTCTTCACAAAAGTTGCGGGGTAACTGTGCTTCTTGTCAAGTCCAGATCGTCCGAAATCCTTGTTATTATGATTCATCTAGGCCTGTCTTCCATCGGCCGTTTCGCTTGTATGA